CCCCGCCCCCCACCCTGGCCCCGCCTGACGTCCCCGCTGACGGCTTCTCCCTCAAGGCCGGCGGTGCGCCCTGCCCGCCCCTGGCCCCAAACCCCTCGCCACTGCCGGCCTCGCCCCTGGCCGCCAAGGAAGAAGTGGGCAAGGAAGATGTCATCTTCTTCTGAGAGCGCCGTGCAGCGAGGTGCAGGCCCCTCCCTGTCCTGCCCACCCTCTGCGCTCACTGGGGACCCCCGCCCCAGAGGTCACTCTGCCACCCAGCCGTCCCATCCTCTTCCCCCGACACCCACCCAGCCGGGTCGCCCTGTTGGTGCTTCGGGGCTCTCAGAGCTCTGTAGGGTTAGCGGTGGTGCCTGGGGAACTTTCTAGACCTCTTAGTTTTTTTAAAAAAAGGAAAGTTTTTTTATCAAAGGTTAAACGAAGGAGCTGTCTTAGATGGTAGGGGAGAGAGCCTCACCGGGCTGTTTTTCCGCGGCAGTGAGGAGGCCATGGCTCTAGCCAGGAGACCGAGGACAGGCCAGACCTCAGTCTGAGGAGGAGTTGCTGGCCCAGGCCGGCCCCGTGGCCACCAGGAGATGGGGGAGTGAGTTGGCAGGGCACCCCAGGTCAGCACAGGGCTGGGCAGATCCCGAGTGGTCCGCAGTGGACCGCGGGGCCAGGCAAGGGGACAGCCAGTGGCACTCCAGGCCGTCCTGTGGGTGCAGAGGGCACGACTTCCTCCTTTCAGTGTGACCAGGTTCTGCTTCTTGGGTCCACCCGGGGATCTCCCTGCCTGTCGTTCACACCACACCCGATGGGCCTCGGCCTCCAGGGGCTGCTGGGAGGAGGCCCCAGGGGCAGGAGCTGCTGGGACTAGGAGGGGTGGGTACAGGAGGAAGTCCCTGGGGACACTGCCAGTGAGAGGGCCAGTGCCACCTGGTGGGCAGTGAGCTGTCATGGCTCCTGGTCACCTGCCCTACAGGGGTCAAGGGTCCTGGGCTGTCGTCCTTGTTCCCTGGAGAAGGTGGGGGGACACTCTGGCTCCACTTGGGACCAAGTCGTTCTCCTGAGTCCGGCGTCCCGGGTCGCTGCAGCTGGGACGTAGGAGGGGGGTTGCCCAGGGTGTCTGGAGGGAGGCCAGCGCGTCCCCGCTTTCAGCGTCATTCAAGGATGGGGACAGGACACAGGAGAGGGGACTCCTTGGTGAGATGGGCTCAGGAGGGGGCAGGCAGGCACAGCAGCTGGCGACAGGATGCTGAAAAACAGCAGCTACGGACCTCTCCGGGCACGAGTGGCCTGGCCGTCCCCCAGGCTCCAGCCCCTCTGAACCTCACCTTGGCCCAGCCCGGCCCGTCTGGCGTCAGCCTCGGCCCTGTGTCCCTGCGACCCTGCGGTCCCCACCTCCCGTCCATGCTACCCCGTGCCATGTTTATAATCAGTGTTTTGTATTTTTGTACTGAGAAGTATCGGAGCACTTTAGAAAAGCCGACTTTCAATTCCTGTCCTACCTGAAGAGGACATTCCCCACGGACGGGAGCGCGAGGCGGTCCCCAGGACGCACCTGCCTGAGCCCCGCGCTCTGTCTGACCCTCTGAGAGGCCGACTCCTCAGACCAGGGGCAGTCGGGGATGTGCAGCGTTCGGCCGCAAGGCGGGGACTGGTGTGTCCGCATCACGCAGCGTGGGGTTCCCAGTGCCCTGGGTACATGTCCTCATGCCCGTTCCCCTCAGTCACCCCTGGGTAGAGCCCACGCGTATTTGTGAAGCCTGTGGTCAAGCAGATTTTCCTGTTCCTGTGGGACCCGCGTCTTCGTCCCGGTAATTGTCTGTACAGCGATGTCATTCCCTCGCCGTGGGACGTCCCAGAACCGTCTTAGAACTCGAGACCGATTTTAGCAATAAAACTGTCTGAGATGAGCCCGCCTGAGACTGCTGTTCTGGGGGGCTCGCTTCAGGGCACATCAAAGGACGGCGGGGGTCCCCACGCGTCACCTGCAGGCTGGGCCCCGCGGGGTGGGGGGTCCTGCGGTCTCCCGCAACACAAGGTCCCCCTCCACCACCACACACACTGCACAGAGCCAAGCAACTCCCGGGCCAGTCCGCGTCGTGGTGGTGAAGGAGCTGGGGCCCATTTGGCTGGCCGTGCAGTTCGAGTCCCAGACAGATCCGAAACACACGTGTGCACGCGTGCCCAACATCTCAGAAGGAGGGAGGAATGGAGAAGGGATTGCAACGTGGCCATCCCCCACTGGGGGGGGCGGGCGGGCACAGCAGCTGGCGACAGGATGCTGAAAAACAGCAGCTACGGACCTCTCCGGGCACGAGTGGCCTGGCCGTCCCCCAGGCTCCAGCCCCTCTGAACCTCACCTTGGCCCAGCCCGGCCCGTCTGGCGTCAGCCTCGGCCCTGTGTCCCTGCGACCCTGCGGTCCCCACCTCCCGTCCATGCTACCCCGTGCCATGTTTATAATCAGTGTTTTGTATTTTTGTACTGAGAAGTATCGGAGCACTTTAGAAAAGCCGACTTTCAATTCCTGTCCTACCTGAAGAGGACATTCCCCACGGACGGGAGCGCGAGGCGGTCCCCAGGACGCACCTGCCTGAGCCCCGCGCTCTGTCTGACCCTCTGAGAGGCCGACTCCTCAGACCAGGGGCAGTCGGGGATGTGCAGCGTTCGGCCGCAAGGCGGGGACTGGTGTGTCCGCATCACGCAGCGTGGGGTTCCCAGTGCCCTGGGTACATGTCCTCATGCCCGTTCCCCTCAGTCACCCCTGGGTAGAGCCCACGCGTATTTGTGAAGCCTGTGGTCAAGCAGATTTTCCTGTTCCTGTGGGACCCGCGTCTTCGTCCCGGTAATTGTCTGTACAGCGATGTCATTCCCTCGCCGTGGGACGTCCCAGAACCGTCTTAGAACTCGAGACCGATTTTAGCAATAAAACTGTCTGAGATGAGCCCGCCTGAGACTGCTGTTCTGGGGGGCTCGCTTCAGGGCACATCAAAGGACGGCGGGGGTCCCCACGCGTCACCTGCAGGCTGGGCCCCGCGGGGTGGGGGGTCCTGCGGTCTCCCGCAACACAAGGTCCCCCTCCACCACCACACACACTGCACAGAGCCAAGCAACTCCCGGGCCAGTCCGCGTCGTGGTGGTGAAGGAGCTGGGGCCCATTTGGCTGGCCGTGCAGTTCGAGTCCCAGACAGATCCGAAACACACGTGTGCACGCGTGCCCAACATCTCAGAAGGAGGGAGGAATGGAGAAGGGATTGCAACGTGGCCATCCCCCACTTGTGGAGGAGCTTTCTTCTCTCCCACTCTGTCTCTCCAGTGAGTACGTATGCCCTCTGGCAAATTTTTGCCATAGCGTGGGCCCCACCACGCCCAGCCTCTGGTAAATTTTTTAAAAGTCAAAATAAGGGGCCAGCCGATGGCATAGCAGTTATGTCACTGGACTTTCTGCATGGCCGACCATGGTTCAGGTCCTAGACCCAGTGGCTTGAAAATCATGCAGGGCGTATGTGCATGCGTGCCCGAGGTCCTGGGAAGAGAATGGAGGAGAAGAGATTGCGGCGTGGCCATCCCCCCCTGGGGGGTGATTTCTCACTTCCCCTCTCACTGTCTCTGTCTCTGGCTAGCACACCTTCCCTGAGACAAAAACCTCGGAAAAAAAAAAAAGTTTAAAACTCAGAAAATCTTCGAAGGTCCGTTCCCCAGGAATTGGGGCCGCCAAGACCAGTCCTGCTGTTCTTTGTGGTTTTAATTTTGGCTGTAGGGTGGATGTCCTCGCCAGAGACAGAGAGAGAGGGAGAGTGAGGAACCACGCCCCAGGGGGGATGGCCACACTGCAGTTCCTTCTCCTCCATTCCCCTCTCGGGAACTTGGTACATCAATACCGTGTCTGGAACTCGAACCATGGAGTCAGCCATGCGAGATCCAGGACCTTCACCACACCACCCCCTCACCCCGAAGAGTAACCTTTAAGCCCCTGAATTGCTCCTTATTTTTAGAGAGATTTTTGTCATAGGACACATACACTTGCCAGAGAGACAGAAAGCGAGAAATCCCCCGCCCAAGCGGGATGACCACACCACAATCCCCTAGTCTCCTCTCAGGACCTTGAGCGTATGTGCGTATGTACACACACACACACACACACACACACACGTGTGCGTGCACGTGCGTGGCTGGTGTGAGTTTTAAGCTGCCGGGTCCAGGATTTGTCCTTGGCCGACTACATGGGAGTCCAACAACGTAACCATCATGCCATCTGCTGGTCCCCTGTGTGAATTTTAAGCCACCAGTCTGGGGCTCAGGACTCGAACCGCGGTCCACTACATGGGAGTCCAGCGACATAACCAGGACACCATCTGCTGGTTCCAGCTTGGGTGGTCCATTCTCCCGACTACAGGCATTGGGGTTCTCTTTGGGTTTTTATTTTTATTTTATTTACGTTTTTCCCCACAGGGCACATGGGAGGCAGAGAGAGGGAAAGCGAGAAATCACCTCCCTGGGGGATGGCCACTCCACAGTCCCTTCTCCTCCATTCCCCTCGGGGTTTTGGGCATGCCCGTATGTGCACGTACAATCACGTACCCTGTGTGGTTTTCAAGCCGTCAGGTCTGGGACTCGAACTGCGGTCAGCCATGTGCAAATCCAGCACCTTCACCACCATGCACGCCACTTCCTGGGCCCTCTCTCCTATTCCCTCTCCCCCTCATTGTCCTGTCTCCCTCACTCACTTCCCTCTTTCTATCTTTACCCGCTCCCCTTTTATTTCCCCCAGTCTGCCAGAGGGCTCATGTGCTGGCCCGGGACACAGAAGGACAGTGAGAAAGCATCCCCAGCGGGGCGTGGTCATGCGCAATCCCGTCTCCTCTCTCTCCGTCCCGTTGGAATTTGGGGAATGCATGCAGATGTGCCCAGTATGTTTTTCAAGCCGACAGGTTCAGGACTCAAACCGCACAGCTGGCCAGGAGAACCCAGCAGCCTTAATCACCACATCATGGCTTGGCCTGGGGATTGTATTTCAGTGAAACTTTTAAAGGCACAAAAAGGGCCAGCAGGTGGCGAGGAGGTTAAGGGGCTGCATCCCCCATGGCTGATTCCACGGTTAGAGTCCTGGACCCGGCAGCGTGGAAATCACGCCGGGTGCGTGTGCATGCGTGTCCAAAATCCCGAGGAGAATGGAGGAGAAGGGACTGTGGCGTGGCCATCCCCCACCGGGGGCAGGGGGGCTGCTTTGTCACTTTCCTCTCTCTGTCTCCCTCTGGTGAGCACCTGTGCCCTAGGGCAGAAACATTTAAAAATAAGTAAAAATGGTTGGCTTCACCCGAGGTTTAAGGACATGGAGGCCCGCCACTGTGCTGGGGCTTCCTGGGCCAGGCATGTCAGCTGATGCCAGCCCACGGCCACAAGCAGGACCTCTCAGATGTCCACCTCTGTCAGGCTGAAAAGCAGGCTTATCCCAACTGTCCCATCCTCCATGAGGCGGGAGATGTTAGAGACACCGAGACCAGCTGCGTGCAAGCCCGAAGCCCACACCATGCTCGCAGTGGCCCTGAATGCACAGTGGAGGCCCCACATCCAAGCACACATGACCTGAGGCAGGTGTAAGATACCCTGGCCACGTGGCGAGCAGGTGGCATGGTGGTTAAGGCACTGGACTCCCACATGGTGGGCCACGGTTTGAGTCCCAGACCTGGTGGTGGGCTTGCTCACTCGCTCACGCTCTCTCCCTCCCTCACATGCACACATGCCCTGCAGGACATTAAAATTAATAATAGCCCCTCAGCCACCGGAGCACCCGTGCACCCAGGAGGGCAGTATGACGCGGGCACGGTCTGACAGGCGGCCGCGTCCTCGGCACGCGTGCCCACAACCTCGGGCAGTGGAGAAGCCACCCTGATGGCTGAGGGCCGCTCGGAGTCAGCAGACGGGGCTTGCACAGAGACCAGGGGCCCCACTGGGTCACAGGGGTGTCCTGGGAGGTGCAGTTTCCAGCGTGGCTCCATCCGCACACGTGCGCGAGCCGGGGGCATAATAACATCAGTCACCCCCGAGCCTGGCACCAGCACCGTGATGTTTAATTGATTCCTGCTCCCGCCCTTCCCCGGGTCCTGCCTGTCCTGCTGGCCTCTGTCTGGGTACAAGCTCCCAGCCGGGGCACAGGAGGCTCTGCTGAGGCCCTCGGTGGCCTCGTCGGGGTCTGCACAGCTCACAAGTACCCCTGCAGCCCAGGGGGAAGCTGGAGGCCCAGGAGCCCTGACGGGCTGGGGGTCCCGGCCCCAGCCCCTCCTCACCCGCAGGTGCTCTGTTCAAGACCCAGCCCCAGCCCCGGCGATGTCCAGCTTGTGGGAAGGGGCCCTGTGTCACGGGGGCCACGTCAGGGGGTGGCGGCATCGGCCGGGCCGCCGGCCCGGGCTGCCTGGTAGACGCTGAGGAGCGAGGACACGGTGCCCATGAGCCCCACCAGCCACGGGGGGAAGCGGCCGGCCCACAGGACGCCGGGGGGCAGCCAGTGCACGGCGTTGGCCAGGTCGGCCGCGTTGCTGAGCAGCGTGAGCACCTCGGCCCGCACCTGCGCCGCCAGGACTCTCCGCTTGCTCCGGGGCAGCCGGCTGTGGGAGCAGAGAGGCTCGCTGGCCGCCGCCGCCCTGCACCCCGGGAAGGCCATGGGGGTGTCCACGGGGAAGGGAGTGGCCGCCGGCCCGCCCACGGGGATCGAGGACCCTTACAGCCACAGAGCAAGCCCGCCGTGTGAACCGGGGACCGCCAATGTCCAGAGGCCCCAGTCCACACCTCGGTCCTCCTGAAACCCCGCAGATGGGGAGGGGGGCGGAGGCTGTGCAGTGGGCGGGTCCTGAGCCTGGGCCAGACCAGGCGCCACCACGTCGTCACGTCTAAGGATGTGACAGTGACATGGCCGATGGCCACCGTCCTGGGGAAGCTGACCGTCCTCCCAAGGCTCAGCTCCAGAGTCGAGCTCAAACCCTTGGTTTCTCCATCTGTGTGAGCTCCCACTGCCCACCCAGCGCCCTCGCACCCGCGTCAGGCCTGTCCGGGGGAGACCGCCAGGCCCACGCCCTCCTGGGTGACGGGGCGCCGTACCTGGTGAAGGCCCCCGTGGGGCTCCGTAGCTTCTGCCGCAGCTTCAGCAGCACCCACAGAGACCTGCAACCCGGAGATGGCAGAGATGACAGCCCGGCTGCCCGGGAGGCCCCCGAGCTCCGGACAAGCCGCCCGCCTCTCCCTGCTCCAGAGCGCTGGGACTTGTCACCGCCACCGCCCCGTCCCGCCCAGGCCCTCTGCACCAAATTCAGGTGCCCCCAGTCCTTCTGCCAGCCAGCGGCCAAGGGCTCGAGGGAGCCTGGAGCCGCGTGGGGTGTTCACAGCCCAGCAGGGAGCTCCCGGCCACAGGTGAGGTTGCCACGAGGCTCGAGGCTCGGGGAGGTGCTTCCCTCCCAGTGCCTCAGCCGCGTGGCCTGGCGGGGGTGGGGGGGGAGGGAGTCCCCGGGAGTGCCTGTCAGAGGCCAATCAAGATGGCTCTGGCTGGGGGCGTCAGCGGGTGGCATGGTGCTTAGGGCCACTGGACTCCCACATGGCCGACCACGGTTCAAGTCCCAGACCTGGCAGCTTGCTTCCTCTCTCTCCCTCTCTCACTCACTCTGTCCCTCTCTGGTCAAACTGAAATAAATGGATAAATACAAAGTTAAATAAGATAATTATTAGGAAAAAAAAAAAAAAAAGATGGCCCTGGCTGGGCTGGCGTCTTCAGGCTGAGGCAGGGGCTGCCGGGTGCTTGGCTTTCTGCACTCCCCAGGGACCCCGCGGCTTAAACTCACGCTGGGCGCGTGTGCGTGCGTGCCCAAGATCCCGAGAGGAGAATGGAGGAGAAGGGATTGCGGCGTGGCCATCCCCCCTGGGGAGTGATTTCTCGCTTTCTATCCGTCTCTCTCTGTCTCTCTGGCAAGCACACATGCCCTATAGCAGAAACCTCTAAATAATAATATTAATAATAAAGGAAAACAAATAAATACATAAGGCCTTTAAAGAAAAAGAAACCAAAACAGGAACGGGAAGTGTCCGGGCCAGCAGTCACCAGGCACCCCAGGGAAGGCCAGGGATCAGAGGCCATGAGCCAAGGCCACCTTTGGGCTGCAGCCCCAGGAGTCCAGAGTTCAGTCCTGGCGCCTGCCCGAGGTCCCCGAGCTCCCTGAGCTCACAGAGAACCGCTGGCATCAGGAGAGGCAGGGAGACTGGCAGACACCCCACCTCCAGGGGACCCTGGAGATCAGGCAGGAGCCGGAAAGAAGACCAGGAGCCTGCTTATGCCGAGGGCTCGGCCCGATTTACATGGCCGGGCTCCCAGTTCCTGGTTCCCAGTCCCGGGCTGGAAACGGGGAGACCACACCCCTCAAGCCTCTCCCGAGGCCGCTGCTTACCTGGCCATGCCCAGGAGCAGGGAGAGGCCCCAGAGGGCAGTGCTGAGCGTCCACCACCGTGCGGAATCCACGTGGAGGACCCGGGCATCGGCGGCCCAGGCGACGTGCTCGCAGGGGTAGTAGAGCTGGTCCGCCAGGTTGCCCAGGACCGACATCCAGCGCACAAGGGTGTCCTCCTCCTGCAGGACGTGGGGGCCTGGTGTCGGATCACCGCTGCCCACGTCAGGGCCGGGGCCACGCCAGGGGGCAGCAAAGGCTCTTCTCGCCGTAGTCCCTGGGCCACGTGCGGGCCTGGCGGGTTGTGGCCACCACCGCAGAGGAGAGCTGCCGGGCCCAGGTCCACACGACCACACACACACACGACCACATACACACACCCGCCTTCCGCTTCCCAGCAGGCAGTCAGCAAGGCCGATAGAGCAGCAGGTCTCAAACCACTGGGCAAAGGGATCCCCTAGGAAGCTTAGCCGGCCCATGTGGTGGGGTGGTTAGGGCACTGAATCCCACATGGCCAAGTGCACAGTTCAAGTCCTGGACCCAATGACTTGAAAAACACACCAAGCCCACCTGCGTGCTATCCAGAATTCCAGAAGACATGAGAAGGGGTTGCCGCCTGGCCATCCCCCCT